GTAAACGCTCAATGGATGGGAGCCGCAGTAGATGGACCGCGATATAATGATGGGCAACCATAAGTAGTGCTTTAGCTCTCAGTCAAACTCGCGCGCACATACTCGCTTGGTTCGCTCTGTTGTTGAGCGATGTGTAAGGAACGTATCTGAGTTCCTTCCTCCCCTCCTCCGCGGACACATCTTTAGTCGTAATTAGTTTTAGACTAACTCTTCAGTTCGATAAATAGACGGTCGAATTCCTGCCATCAATTTAGGCCAAAGCTCTTGGGGTCGACTGATGTAACTCGTCGATGGAGTACGTGAGGAACACTAGCTGGATCCGCACAGGATAGCCGGGAGCAACCCCATCACATTTACAAATTAATATCAGTTGTTACTAATCTCTTTAGATGGGTTTAGACGGGGTTCAATTTTATGAAAGAGAGTAAGATACACAGATGGAGACACGGAGACGAATGGCTCTAGGATTCCAGTGAGCTGGCATTTTATTGTGGACAATCGTTTATTCGCTAATTCAAATCCTTTGTTAAAAAATAATACCATAGCTTTATTGCTTGCTTTACTCGATTTCCATTCACTTTAAATGAATGCTTTATTATTTCACAAAAACGCACTTGAAAAATTATCATGTCGTATATCCGTGCTACTCACGATCAGTAGGTTCGTTTGAGTCGGTAAGATAAGCTGGAATAGAAACAGATCGTGTTTTGTCATCCTTCCGGAAAAGTCTGTCACAATATCATCATCATCGTCATCATCATCATCATCATCATCATCATTGTACAGCGTAATACAGTGAAGCGAACTTCACTGATCGCTACCAAACTTATGTTGCTTATGTTATTACCACAATATGTATGACTCATTCGTTTTCGCAGATATTGAAATAATTGGACCTATTGCTGCATCCTGCGGACCGTTGCCGTGGGTGGAACAACTGGCGAATAGGAACAGCCAAGAATTCTATGATTTGCAAACTGCCGTTTGCGTGAAAGTGAGTACCCCATCCGAATCCAAAACGGGATTCATTATTCCCAGAGTTTCATTCCTTTTATCATGCGACTCAGATCTTTTTGTTGCAGGAGTGATTTAATAATACGCTGTACAATGATATCATGCGCATAAATAATACATTAGAGGGGCAGGCAGGAATATGAAAATAATAATTCAGATACAACACTTCAGACATTTATTGCTCGAACACCAGTTTCTTCGTTCTGAGTGCAGTTGGACGCGTGTGTATGGCTTTTGTTCAAAAGTAAAACCAAAAGCTGCGGTCAAGTGTAACCAGTTTTCCCCGTATGTTCTGAATTTACACGGAAGCAGTCTAAGATTAAAATATGTCCTAGTAAATGATGTTTTTTGCATATATTTGACTAAAACTCAGCAATAGTTTGAACAAGAAATCCATAGCCCTCTATACCAATCTCGACCGGCCAATATTTTATTTTCTCTAAACTTGAATGTAATGAATTCTCAGTTTGAAAGCAATCAATCCACTGACGAATCCTAACATCATTCATGATTTTACGTTAACTAAATTGCTAAATGTTGTAACTATGATTACTAGTAGGTTATTTATTCATTTCGGAATATCCGATTCCACTGCCCTCAGATTATGGATTATGGATTCCCGTTTCCCGAATTTGCTCATTGTCTGGCGTGTGCTTCTATTAGGGTGAGAGGAAAAAAGCTAACATCCGGGGCTACGATCGGGTCGGTGAACCACTGGCAGTTCACCTAGGGGAGCTAAAATGTCTGATTCTAAACCAACCAATAAGAGGTGTACGAACCGCACCAAATCGAGAGCTGTTCAGGCTAACTGGTCAGCTGTAGAGCTATGTTAACACCCTGTGTGATTCTCTTGTTTTTGGTACATGGACACACACACCAGAACATGCGATATTTATCTAGAATTATACGCACAGCTAGGTACTATCTGTGTGATGACCTCGGGCTTTTTTCATAGCGTATATGTCACAGTGCTTTCAATGGCATTGGTCACTTGCAGAACGATCAACTTTCAGGCATAAAACCGTTACGTCACGTCACCGTTTATTCGGTGAAACCATGCCTACCTGTTCACTTTTGACCAATTCAGTACGTTTCTCCTGCGGCGACCTAAAGGTGGCCTCGACCCCATATAGAACCCCCATGATCGTAAACAATAATTAGCTTACCTCTCACCGGTTTACGTGTACCCTGGGTAGGGGTGGGGCATGGAGGGTCCGTTCATCCTTCTCATGCTCATTGAATACACGAATAATTCAAGTAAAAAGCATTTTTTGTTGGAAATAACGGAAAATAAATTAGCCCCCCCCCCAAACATTGCCGATACAATTGTGTCCTAAGTATTCATGAATGTGATGCTATCTGGTTCATTGGTTATCCTCAGCAGAAAGTGCTTAAAACACTCTGATGAACTAGAGTTGGCAATGATGACATCCGTTGCGTCATAAGTAGGATAAGAAATGTATATATTTGTTTAATCACCTGATCCCTTCTCGGTTTTCAGGTTCAGCAAGCACTTCTTTTGTATCAGAAGGATTGGAATGGATGTTTGTTGGACAAGGCTGTTCCGATTGGCGAAAATCCAGTTCAAATTAAAGTGAGGGTTCTGCACGCCTTCAAGTCTCATATATACATCGATTTGGGTGCCGTGAACTATTCCCTTCATCAAGACACTGGAGGCGTGTTCTTTGAACCGTCCTCTTATGTCGGACCAAGTGGTAAGTGGTTTGTTGCGGACCCCATTCCACAAAATTATGTGGTGGTATGAACGCTACGTATACAGTTTCTCATCCATGGGCATGATGAACCCTGGTCGTTGAAGCAGAGTTATATTTGCTCCTCGCCGCAGATGCGCTAATTTTGAGCAGTTAATGTGTTGAGTTGTGTCTGTATGAATTTGGAATGTCGATCTCCATTAAGTTCCCTGGTTTCACTTGATTGTAGTGGTTGATATGAGAGTTCCCAAACCACACACGCACACTCGCTCTTCTTATAGTCGCACGTTTTCAAGATTGGCCTAAGAAGAGTTGTTTCAGTTCAAGATTAAATTTTAAGTATCTATCAGGAAGAACCGTTAGAATCAACCCACGACGATATTGAGGGCCTAGACTGAATCCACTTATGCATCGATTCATCCCAACATTCATGTGTGGGTATGGTGACCGCTTTATCCACTCATTTTGACGTAATTCATTTCCTTACCCGACCATCATTTACCGCCGGGTTCATTCATTCGCATCCATGATTAACGATCACAAACATAATGTTCCCCGGTGGATCGAGTGGGGGGGGGGCGAGAACAGCCCACCTCACCCCACCGAAACTTTCATCATCGCTCGTTAATGCACTCAAAAAGTACTTTTATTTGTCTATAGAGAAATCAGTTCACTCCACTGGACGGGGTTTAGACAGACCTGGTCCGATCGGCGACGATTGACTGCAGAAACAACCATCATCTTGTGTGGTTCCCAGTGGAATGCGATTGATTGGATTCACTTGAAGTTGACAAGGTATAGAAGCAGTAATTTGAGTGTGGATATACCGATGCCCCAGACAATACGTGGAGTGTCGGTTATTCAGTGTCCGAACGGGATCATCAGTGTCTCTGATCGATACCGAACTCTCTAATCGTTATTTGTTTCACTTTTGCTAGTTGAATACACTCAAGTGAGTAGCGAAGCTTCACACGAGGATAACTGCGGCTTCTGCCAAGGGGGATGTGAAAATATAGAGAACTGGGGAAAGATAAGCGACGGCCTTTGGTTAGATTCACACACACACACACACACACACACGCCAGGAACTGTCAATGAGGTGAATTTACCGGTTTATCCACTTGCGGACTTTACTATTTATTCTATATATTTTTGCGCAAGACGATGTTATTCTGACAAGGGAATCGTTTGAGCTCAGTAAAAATATCATTTTTTGTTTATTTCCCCTCGTCAGATACCGGCGCATATGTTACGGTGTCTTGGACAATAGTGGTTTGTCTGCTGCTCTACTCCATGGGATTATTTAAATAAGTTACCAGTGAGTTCACCATGGTTCTTGTCTAATCCAGTTAATTTTGAGAATTTGTTTTGAAATAAATACATTTTTAAATGAAATGTTGCACAATGTGTTATGATTTTGATTGTTTAAAGATATTAGGCTAATAAGATCATTATAAAGGTAGATTAACTAGATTCGAGCTTAGCAGAGGTAGGATGATTTGTGGTCAGATAAAATGGTTAAAGCTCTGGAACCTAACCACTTTGAGCGTTGAACAAAATAACCTTGGATGTGATAAGATGAATTTTTCTTGACCGTCACTGAATCCGAATCTCAAATCACCGGAAATGATTTGAATACTTTTATAAACGACCCACGAATGTAAGTTTGAACAAAATGCTTGTTGTTGTTGCATGAGGTATACTCTAAAATAGATGGGAATAGAATTGGCGACACTAAGGAAATTGCATTCATCTACTCACAGATTACATTTTAGCAGCGTTGTTGTGTTCTCTGTTCTAAAAATTGGCCACATTTATGGTGCGGCACGCCATTCCCTTTTCATTGAAAGAGTGTGTGTGCATGGATGTAGTGCAACGGTCTTTAATACGTTACTCTACGGCCACAAAGCTTGGCCTCTCCGAGCAGATTATATTGAACGACCATTTATCGGTAACAGCCGTTAGCTGCATAGCATCACCCAAGTATGGTCGAAACGTGTGTGAGGAATACCTATGGGGCCAGATGATGTGTTTAGGGTAGGCACTCTTCCGCCGAGTAATAAAAATGATTGGTACATATAATCAAATAGTGTTCGGTCATGGACTGGCAGTTTTTAAAGTTCTTCTAATGGTTATCCTCCAATGAGAAGCTTGTTGAAGGCTGATCAGTCGTTGTACTTGTTTTGTTTCTAATTGAAGAAACTACTCACAGCTTATTGTGAATGTTAAAGTGTTAATAACACAGCGATGTCGGTAGAGAATTATATTCACTGAGGTTTCGGCTACCGTGGGTAACCTTTCTCAAGGCAGGTTTACAATCACTTGTTTGTTATCATGAATGATCAACACTGCATGCAGATTGATATCAATTCGATCCGAAACTACCAAGCGCTAAATACTCATTCTAAATCGTGAAATAATTGCTTTATTTGCCCTTCAGTTTACCAGATTGTGATTGTATTAAAGAAGCGCCAATGTTTGCCAACTACTCAACCACCCTATCTCCGAAAGATATTCAACTGATGCAACGGTTATTGTGGGATGTAAAAACTCTCCGTCAGAATCCGTGTTTTCTCCCTTTGTCCTCCGACTGTTAACTCTTCGATTCTGCACCTTTCTTTGCTATTCTTCTAATCAAATTCCTGAGTGATCAGACTTGTTGTGGCTTTTCGGCGGTTGGTCTCCTCATTATTTTTTGATCAATTATTTCTTTGCAGCTTCTTGACACATTTAATTTCTGTTTAATTTCTGCATCGGAATTGGCTGCCAGAATTGGTTTCTCTTCCTACAAAACAAAACCTGTTCTGCATTGCAATCCGTCTTGTTTGTGCTCCGAATCAGGGGTCTTCATCCCCACACACCCACACACGCGAAGCGAACTGAACTATGCCTGACCTTACGTAATCGCAATCAGAATTCGGGGTCGAGCATATAGACTTAAATTGATAAGTGAATTTCACATTAAAGGCGCAAGTAAAATAGCCTCTAAGGCCTGATGACCAACTTAGAAAAAGCTTCATGGTGGTTCAGCTCTTGTTGGAATTCGATAGCTTTCTATTAGAAGAAAATGTGTTCATTGTTGTTGTTGTTATGTTTTGCTGGTGGTCGCGATGGAGAAGATAGGAGCATTCGACAACCGTGGTGGGTTGACTTTCATCATTGTGATTATGTCGTGAAGCCTCCGTTCATAAATGCCACACTGTTCGCCATTTTCAACACACCTCAAGGAAAAACTCAAGAAAACTGAATATCTGCCGAAATTCATCTGAAAGTGAATAATTGTGTGTAGGAATCAGATAGATTGCGTTCTCATATCGTTCACAGCAGCGATCAGTCACTATATCTTTTTTCAGTTCAAAATGTCCCGGTTTCAGTTCAGTTTGCCGCGGGTAACAGTTTCTTCCACAGTGGATAGATGGCCCTCTGAATGCAGTTATACCGAACGTAGATGGCACGCTGTAATCTCATTTATTGACTAAAGCTTCTTCCGTCTTCCCTGTTTTTCTCCTGAATCAGCCTACATAAGCCTTTCTGCTGAACAGTCTTACCCGTTTCTCGTTGAGGTTTGTTTATTTCATGCTCGTATAGAAATAACCACCTCTATGGCGTCACACTTGGATTTAAGCTTCTTCCTCGGGACCGATGAAAAGTACTGCACTGTTAACAGCAGGGGTGAACCGAGAAAGAGATGTGAATAGCTGAGGACACCAGCTTTATCCATGCACGTCCGCGACCTACAGGAGATCGAATCTCAAAATAAACCGCCCGAAAGATCTGAGGCATGACTGCGTCACTTAACTTCAGCAGTTTAAAGCAATATAATGTTCGTTACGGTGTCTGGGCCACAAACCACTGGCCAATAGTGCAAAAAAAATCAAAAGCTGTGAGATTCAAACGGAAGCTATATGATGTGAAGAAAGCAGATAGGCCATTGGCGAAGACCTGTTTAACCAATGGCGTTTGTTTGTACATACATAGTATTTAGTGAGACTGATTTTTCTCAGTAAACTAATTGCTACTTCTGTGGCCTTTTTCCGGCTTCTCGGTGAATGTAGGTTCCAGCCTACGGTTGCTAGTACAATTCTGTGCTTCGGTTGCGACCGGGATTCACGATCAGTTAATCTGTACGTATTTCGATCACTGCAACTACTGACTTACATCATATGTCACAGCTTCAGGAAATTACTTATTTTCCTAGTCCTCGACAGATACGACAAAGCAGGAGATCGAATATAACACGATCACTCTGTGTGGCATGCGTGCGGGTGTCAATATCATTCAATCAACCAAGCCCTAAGGGCGTGCGGTAAATGTGTCGGTAGATTGTACACCACAACAAATCCCTACTTACTGACTCCATTGACATCGTTTCCAATCGTAATCCAACATGGGGTGTCGGCCCCAAATTGACCAATTCATTTTTCCCTGGGCAGTAGTAATCAGTAACTCTCAGTTTACTGCATTACATAGTGTAGTAGCCTTAACGATTAGCATCAAACTGCTCAATGTAGTTTGAGAATACCACTTACTATTCTTCACCTTTGGCAATTCGACTTGTCCGAACATCGTTTCAAGATATCCGGCTATCATTTAAAGTTTGAAACACTGGGTCCCCTTTATCCATCGTATCAAGACCGAAAGAAGACATATGTCGCGAGATGTTGACATTTCGTTTGATCTTCTCAATCACTGACGTAAAACAAACAAGCATATTTATAGCACATTGAAATTGTAAATCATAGAGAACGGACATGTACAGTTAGACGGGNACGGGGGCTATTCGAATTTTAAAAATATATATAGGTCAACTCCACGGCAAGTGAATTGATTGGATTAACAACTTTTGGGCACACAGAACGGGGTTATGTAATCGGATCAGTAAGGCCTCACTTATTGCCAACAGTTTTGCATTGTGGTTACGTAACAACGGCTTGACAGAGGAAGCGGGATCAACTGTGTTTGGTTGTCATGAAGTGTTTTGCAATTGATGACCCCGGGTTACGTGTGACCATCTTATTACTAGACATAGGTTGCGTCATTGACTTGACTAACCACTTTGGAATGTGTTTGGCCATTCTTTGTAATAATTGACGGTTGGTTCTGCCTATGTATGCGTCACTGCAACTGCAGGTGAACTGGTATACAGTGTGTGAGGTAGAATCGGACTGCCAAACATGCACACGTTTGTCCAAATGGATTCCACGAGTAGAGGTGATAAGTCGGAGTTGAGCAGCTGGGAATGTGCGGCTGAGAGCCGACTTTAACTTTTGACGCACATCGTTCAGAAGGTGATCGCCCTTGAAAGATAGTTTGATGTAAACTGCTTTCTGGGGAACGGTTGGTAATGGGTTACCCTTTTTGTATTGTTTACCATGGAAATCAATGAATCCTTCGGGTTAACCGTTTCGAAGCAACTTTTGCTTCAGGATTTCTTCTTCATCTCGTAGTGTGTCTGGGGAACAAATGCTTCTGGCTCGATGGAACAGAGTTTTTACTAGTCCANTAGTCCACGTTTGTAAGCCATGGGTGAGAAACCAGAGAACTGTAAATATTGGCCACTCCATGTTGCTTTTCTGTGGATAGAGCGTCGTAATGTACCATCTGAGCGCCTCGTAATTCTGATATCCGAAAATGATAAAGAATCGTCGCTTTCTTGTTCATGGGATACGGAAAGATTTGGATGAAGAGAATTAAATTGTCTCAAAAGGGATTCGAAATGTTCACGCTCCGTAAGAATAAAAATATCGTCCACATAACGTCTGTACAAGGTGGACTGGGAGATATTATTGGCAAGATTTTGTTCAATCATTCCTAAAAATACATCGGCTAGAATTGGGCCTAACGGACTGCCCATGGCCACGCCATCAATCTGTTTGTACATGTCTCCTTCGAATTCAAAACGAATGTTTTCGGTACATAAAAATATTAGTTCTCTTAAGTATTCAAGAGGAATAGCAAGGGAAAAATTACCTGAAGAAATATAATCACATAAAAAGTCAACTGTCTCATGGATCGGAACATTGGTGAAAAGGGAATCCACATCTATCGAATACATACGTTGAGAAGATATTGTCAAGTTTGACAAGTTTGACTTGACAATACAAAGCGTACAAGCCGGTAATCAGATAGTCTCGTGTTGGGGGGAGGGATTCCAAGTGTCGCAGATCGCGGAATTTGATCCAGTCAGATCACATAAAGGGTCTGAGGGAATTTACTTGTTTAAGGTCACGGGTGAGAGGGACGAGACGATGTGAAGTGATGGAGCAATCACACTGTATATATTGGTTGTTTATCTTGCTGGTATGCG